CTTTAACCATGATGCTGCACTCTATCATAAATAGTCCACCAACCTACACAAGCAAAAAAAAAACAGTCTGTACAAACAAGTCCAAAGCTTTCACCATAATTGCTCATATAAAACCTGTGCAAGACAAAGCAATAAAATCAAGGTATCAAAGATGGAAAAGAGGTTGCTTAGTGAACAAGGCTTCTATTTCAAACTTCCCTCTTAAACTACAACCTCATGTCTATATAAGAAAGCTTGATCTCACATAAAAAGGGAGGAGATTACTGATACTACCAGGGGCAGAAAATACTACACAAAAATCACACTCAAAAACTCAGCTCCATCCCTACCAACAATTTCCACAGAAATACCAACAAGCTTCTGTTCAATACACCAAAAATGCCTTCACCCTATTCAATAAAACACAGATAGACATACATACCAACAAAAAAACCTATGTTTAATACAAAAAACCTCCCTGTAACCTGCTCCAACACACAAACCTCTCGCTTGATTCCTCATCAGAACATGCGACCAAAACCTTTATCAGAAGCAGATCTGCAAAGTTTTTTCAACCACAAGTTCAACTGGCATAATTCTCACCACAAAAATTCTTCATTCAACCTGCAAATTCTGCATCAACATCAAGCAGACAACAATACAAACCGCAAATTCTCTGCCAAATTATACAATAACAACGTTGCACAGCCACTTCAATAAATCCATATACACATAGAAATAAAAGAGAAGAAGTTAAGGAAGCAAATTTTACCTCTGGTTTTCTTTATTCTTTCTCGCCGGCATCGGAGCTCCGACCGTGTAAGTCTACTCTGCCTTCCTTCAATTACTTTGAAGAGTCGTATTGGTGTTTGTATGAATAGAATAAAATCATTATATTCTGTGTTGTTGGCCGTTGAATCGCAATCATGAGGCTAGGCATGATGTTGTTGTTAACCGTAAAAAAATGTTAAAATTGAAAAATAGTGTAAAATCCCAGCTGAATCAATTAGACCGTTGTTATAGTTATTTCCCCGAGAGTGTAGAAATGGTAGAAGAGCGAGATTTATCTTTGTTGTTGTTTGGTCTTCATGAACAGAGGAGAATTAAGAGAAAATCATTATTGTTGGTAGTGATGAAGGTAGATCATGAAAAGTTATTGTTGAAGAAGAGGATGAATAAAGGGTTATTGAGAGAGAGGAATGAGAGATGAACAAAGAGGAGGATCATGAGATTTGAGAGGGAAGAGGATAACATTTTTTTATTTCTATTTTAATCGTGTTATTGGGAAGTCAAAGAAAATTTAATTTGGACCTTTTCTCCATATTTTGATGCAGCGCACTCTTCCAATGAGGGTTTCCAAAAACCCTCTCTTTTCCCTCTTAAGTGGATCCGGGTTTGGGCTTGAATTTTTCGCCCAACCCATTTCATAAATTTTCACTCTTATAATTTTTTATCAGATATATTCACGAATGGATAGCATGGTGTAATGGTTTGAGTGTGTGTCTGATATGCTTAAGGTCCTGAGTTCGAGACCTCTTTAGACACTTTTATCACTATTTTGTAAAAACATAATACAAAAATATTAGATTAGGTTTATAATTATTTCTTTCTTGCCCTCTTTAAAAAAATACCAAAAATATATATTAGTATAATTTTGTATTTCTTTATTTAATTTAATTTTTTGTTGTTAATTATTTAGTTATTTAATTGCTATTTATTTAATTTTCCTCTATCGATCGTTTAGTCTTTATATTTTGTTTGCGTCTAACTCCAAAGGAAAAAAATCGAATCTATTGACTTCATGTCATCGAATATATTTAATACGATTGTGCGAAAACCCCTTTGTATATTTTTTTATAGTTTTATTAATCTAAAGATAAATCTCTTATAAATCCTAATTTTAAAAACTCACACCTATTATTAGCAAAAAACTTCGACACTAGGTCATCGCATTTTCAAAATCTCATCCCCACATTCATTTAGCAAGCAAACCAATTTTAACCAAAAAACAAATATTTCAAAAAGTTCTTATAGGATACTATAGATACATAGGGTGCTAGTACCTTTTCTTTGTATAACCAACTCCCAAACTCCCGATCTCTTTCAAATGCATTGTATTTTTTTTCTTTTAGTATCGTACTTACTTTGTATATTTATGGGTTTTATTTCACACTTTTCCCTTTTTCCTTGGAAACAATAAAGTGCGGTGACGACTCTTACTTATTTGCGAGTCAAGTTAATCAATAGCTTGATCTTCGATTTTCACCGCTACACCTAGGGTTCTTAGGTTTTGGTAGAAGATTTAAAGGTTCCAGTTAAGCTTCAACCGGGAACCTGGGTTTTACGGTGGCTTTGGAGTGATTCGCGGCGGTCGACACGACAAGGAGATTTCTGGTGGATAACGAGCCTAGAGAATGGGATAGAGAGAGAGAGACAAAAGCGAAAAAATGGAAAATCTGTGATGAAATTGAACATATAATCCCTCTGTTCCTCTGTACGATCCTGCTTAGCATACTCCCTGGTCAACTTTAGGTCTCAACCACATGATTGCACTACTTTTTATCAAAGGCGCGGGATTCATTCCTGCACGGCCGCATGATCTAAATCAAACGATTCGTAAGCGTTTTGCACACCGTAAGGCTTTGCACCTTCCCGTAAAAGGACTAACAGACTTCAAACATTATCTGTGCCAAACCCAATACTAAATACACACTCCCATATTACTTTTCAATCATAAAACGCACTTCCAATGTTATTCAAACCCCCTAATTACTACTTCACTTAAAATCCATACACCCTTTACGTTTTGGACCTAAATCCAATATCTGAATTTAGGACCCTGTTATCTACACCTCAGCTATTTACTACCTGTCCAATTTTGCACCCCCTCCGTTTTAATCCATTTTTTATATTTTATTTTTATATTTTATTTATTTATTTATCATAACTAATATTTTAAATATATTTATAAATAATGAAATTATTTTATTATCATTATAAAATTCAAATATTTTTTTAATCCATTCAAATATTTTTAAATTGCATTACAAATTATTTCTCTTCATGTATTAAAAAGATTTTATATATTAACACATTTAAAAAAATACTTAGCCAATATCAAATCAAATTTTTTTTACTAACTTAATTTAAAATTCAAGATTATTTTCAAAAAGGATTATGAAAATATTTTTAATCGACTGCGAACTTCGTTTAACAACTCTGTTATTCACACACTCAGATTTAGTTCAAAGGAAACTCGAAATATCTTCGTAATCCATAAAAAACACTAACCAAACAACTGTGAATTACGAATTGAGACTCTGATACGTAGTCATACGACTAAAATCGTAGCGAGTTCCCCTAATAAAAATAAAATCCTATTTCCTATACCTTAAATCTAAACCCTAGTATCATTGTGAATAAGATAAATGAAGGGTGTCTAACACTTTCCCTTTATTTAAAACGAGTCAAATAACTTAGAATCTCTACTAAATTAAGATTATTTTTTATATTTTTTTCCTAATGATAAAAATTAAGAGGACTGTCATTTTTAAAACGGTCGTTACATATACAAGTTTTACTTTTTAATGAACTTATAATGAGTACCACTTATTTCTTGCAATGAACTTATATGTAAATATTCTTTCTTTACATGGAGAATAATAAATTTGGACTGTTTGCTACTTCTAGGGCTCAAATTCATGATGCACCTGTTGATGGAGGAGCTGTTCAGGGTGTTCCATCAATTGAAAAAATAACTTTTCATCTTTTGAGGTGGTTTTTTATCTTCCTTTATATTTTTTAGTTCTTTTCGTTGGCAAGCTTTAGTTTTTCAAATGCTCAGGTTGGCAAGCTTTCCATTAGATATAGATTTTTGTGGCAGTTTTACACAAAAACCTGCAGTTTTTCAAATTGAATATGCTTTTAGAAGCCCCTCTGAGTTTGCTCAGTTGAATGTGCATGACATTAAAAAGCTGGAACATGCATGACAAGTTCCTTTGTTCCTGAAATCTCTTAGATATGCTTCTACAAGGGCACCTCTTTTGCTCTAGCACCAGCTCTACACACACTTACTGAAACTTCCAATGTTGCATTAACCTCTTTTGGAGTCCCACGTTGTTTTCTTCATAAACAACTATGGTGCTTATAAATTTAACTATATTGAGGTTTGTTATATGAATATGGACAAAAAATGTTGGGCCCATTCCTTAGAAAGTTTTAATTAACCTAATTAATTTTAAAATAAAAATATAATAAAAATATTAATAAATAATTAATTAAAAAATATTAATATATAAATTATCCTAGTCAATATTACTAAGTTATTAAAGATATATTTTTGTCTAATCATCATATCTATAAAATTAGAGGAGAATCAACAAAATTTTAAAGAAGGTAAAATTCAAAGAACTAAAAATTGATTTTTAAAATAGAAAAAAGATTAAAAGAAAAATTATTAAAATAAGGACGAAAACTAGTTTAAAAAAATTAATCCGAGAAATAAATTAAACTTACACTATTGATACGTAAATTTTGTTTTTGGGGAACTATTTGGACATATTTTTGGGTCTAAAATAAACATAGAACATATTTTAGGAAGTTGATTTTACTACCTGTTAAAAAACCAAACTAAAATTTAAAACCCTCCGGTCATAAAACAATTAAAACCCTACACTGTGTAAAAAGCGAGTTAGAGTCACCGAACTCATCTCGCCGGAAAACGCATCGGAGTTCCTCGTCGGCCGCCAAAAATATCAACTAACTCCGTCTAGGTACTCTTCTTTCTCTCTCTATTTCTCGGATTCTCCTTCTCTCCTGCAGCGCGCACAAGGATTCAATTCCAGCGCGATTTGCGGCCGCAGTAGCCGCAATAACCTCCACTCGTTTCCGCATTTCGATTCCTTTTTTCCCGCATATTTTCTGAATAATTTCCGTTTGAAGAGATGGAATTGTTGTCTTCGATATTGATTCTTGATTGTTTTTGGATTTTGACAGAGATAAATTTGGTGATTTCAATTCGAATGGGTTATCTTCAATTTGGAAGACATTGTGTTAGGCAGATTATTAGAAGTAAAGATGCTGTTAACGATAGTGTTTGTGTGAATCCACTATTGTATGCATCTCAAGGTCTTCGATACAACCGGAAGCTCCAAGTCATTCTTACAACTGTAATTATCTATCTTAGGGTTTTAAATAGCGCTTGCGGTTGCAACTGTATTTGATTTGATTCGGTTTTATGATAGATATATATATATATATAATGTTCAATTTGTAGGATATAGATAAGCTGGGAAAGGCTGGCGAAACTGTCAAAGTTGCCCCGGGCTATTTTCGCAACCACCTAATGCCTAAGCTCCTTGCTGTTCCTAACATTGATAAGTTTGCTTATCTTGTCACCGAGCAGCGCAAGGTTTTCTTTTGCTCCCTTATGTCTGTTTTTGGCATTTTACAATATCCTGGAGCAATGTTTTTGTTAAGTTGCAGCACTATAGCGTAGTAGAATTTGAACAAATAACTATTCTTCTGCGATAAGCTATTTAGAACAAAATGCTATTTCCTGATCTCAATTGACAACATTGTTTTGTCTGGAGTAACTTTAGAAATTCTCTATATGAATCTTGATAATGCTGTCGGTTATCTGATCTGAAGATAACATCCTTTTCCGGTTTTCTTTGTTTATGTGAATCTGTGTGCGGCAAACTCTGTTAACATTATATTTCTATGCCTGTATGCTGGCACATAAACATTGGCATACTTGCATAGCCGGTGTTTTTAACGAGTTACTCTGCTTTCATCAGTTGCTAGAATTATGTTTCAAATGTTTCAGATTTATCAACCTACTGAAGAAGTGAAACATGAAGATGTTGTTCTTGTTAGCGAGTCAAAGGAAGATTTGATGAAAGAGTATGAAAAGGCAGCTCAGATTCTTGATAAAGCTAAGCTGGTTAGTAGTTTTTCTCTATAAAGCCTTTCAATTCTGTTTAATTGAACATTTCTGTGGTCCTCTCTTTGGGAGTTAATTTCCTTAGTTAGATGATTGCTTTATAATAATTGCCATTTGTTGAGGAATTTGCCATAGCTAAAGTACAGATGAACTTTTCTGAAACTGGACTTGTCATTGAACTGGTGAATGTATTATAGCTCGTTTTTCAATTGTGGTTGAATTGGTGAGAAAATATATATTTTGAACATTATATACATTATATAATAAGCTAACATTAAATTATGAGAAATTTATAAGATGTAAGAAATAATTTTTAAATAACTTAAAATAACCAAATTGTATTTGTGTTGTAAGATATAAAATCAATAAGGCAAAACCAATAACTCGTTGGTGAATCTTACGGGCTAACTTCTATTGTGTTATTTATTTTGGATTAAATTATAAATGTTTAAATAAATACAAAAAATCTTTGTTCAAACTGGCTCTTCATCGTTAGTTTTGGATTTGTTCAACTGAACACCATTGTTTTCCAGCTGGCAGTTTAGATTAAGCGGGCGGGCCACTTAACATATTTATGGGTTTTCTTGTTTGGCTCAGCTGGTTTGGATTTTTAAAATATGGCTGTGATGATGATACTCGCAAAAGACTGTAACTGTTGAAGATATAAGATAATAAATTTACTTGATAATTTGACAGTCTTTCATGTTAAAGCTCAATAGTTAATGCGATGATACTCTTATAGGTCTTGCGGAGGTTAATTGATGTTCAAAAAGCAAAGGCGCGTGAATCAAAAGAAGACCCCTTGGAGTTACGTATACCAGTGTCAAAAAAAGCTCTTGTGGCCGAGGTAATATCTGTTCTTCGTTATTTAAATGTTTTCTTGATGACAACTAAGTAACAAATTACGAATTGACAGTGTTAAAAAAAATGCAACTAATACTAATGCCTCGAGAGAGACTTTCTTGGCCTTCTGACCCTCTTTGATTTGTTAATATATTTAAGACCAACAAATTACCAACTTCTTAGAAACCCTACTTTTATTTTGATACAAACTTCAATCCGTTACAATATTTGAGCCATTTGGAAAGAATTACAAGTTTGAAAAAGAAACAAGAAACCAAATAAGAAATCTCTCAATCCTTGAACTGAGAGCCAAACTAAAGTGGCCAAATACACTCATAGTCTAGTCCTAATAATTTTTTCTGCGCCCCCTCTCTCCTTTCTCTTTCTATATCAGTCTCCCACTTTTATTAATTATGTAATAATTTACTCTTCCTTTCACGTACTGCTCCCTTCTGGTTTGAACCTGTCAGCAAATTCTAAGTCATGTATCTTTCTTCCCGTTACTAGTCGAAACTTGGAAGTTTTAAAATTATTTCATAATATTACTATGTATCTTACACTTTTAAATGATCATAGAGTGTCTCCTATAACATGTGAGTGGTTTTCTTATTTCATGAGTGATTTTCCTTGTTCAATCAGAATTAGGATTTTAATTATTAGTTTTTTTTACAGATGGATATTAAATAGTTGTATACAATTATAGATAGGAGCTGGTGTTTTGTTTTCTATATCACATCAAATCGATACCAGTTTCAGATTATTCAATCTCACAATTTTCAAATTTATTTGACACACTTTGTATCTGGGATCAACTGCAATATTCCTTTTAAATATCAGACAAAAATTCTTCCGTGTTAGCAAATCCTGGAAGAATTTCGTTTGATATTTCTCAATACTGTTTGAGGGTTGCTTATGTATATAGAAAAGAGATGTGTTAGAAAGAAAAGAATGGAAAGACCTTCTGATGTACAAATGATTGTCTTAGCTTAATCTCTCTGCAACACATTATCATATTAAAGAAAATTATATCTGATTTGAGATGTTAGTTTTGGTTGCAAATCATATCTGATATGAAAATTGGTTTCCTTTTGAAGAAAATTAGGATACATTTTCATCTTATTGTTAATTTTTTGTGACATTTCTCTTATATCACAAACTTTTCTGGTTTTGACTTTGTTGTGCCATTTTTAGGTGGCAAGACAACTCTGTGTGAACATCACACCTGAAAATCTGCATCTTCCATTACCATTGTCTACCATTGGAGAATATGAGGTGCCACTACGTTTACCAAGGTCAATCCCTTTGCCAGAGGGCAAGCTTAATTGGACTTTGAAAGTAAAAATCCGAAGTAAATAAGATAGTTATCTTGTTGAATCCAAGTCCAATTGGGTTCTGGTTTATACTGATAAATTCAACTTGAGGATTGTAGAAGTGCAACCCTTTTCTAAAAACATTATTTGTCCTTAGATAATATCGCATATGGTGTTGTTAGCATTCTTCTTCTATTTTGCAGATGATTTTGGTCATGTATTACCATCCAAACCGGTTTTATTGAACATAATAACCATCTTCCTATACTTTTTCCAATTGGGACTTTGGTGGACCAATTTGTAACTTTCCCCTTTGGAGGGAGTAGTACACTTCTCAATTCAATTGCATGCTATTTTTTAGTAATTCACAACTTATTGTTGTGTTGCTTGAAAAGGATGATCAGCCACTGAATCATTTTTTGAGCAGTTGAAAAATTCAATCTTTTGAAAACTGTGCAAACACTTTGTTTAAACCGGAAAACTCTTTAAAACAAATTACACATTATTTTAAAGACTAATGTATAATCAATTAGTTAACTCATTCTAATTGATGATTAGTAATCTAATCACAGTTAATACACGTTTCTAATTGATTACTATTTAATTTAACCAATTTATTTAATTATGATCAATTTTTAGTATATTACACATCTAACAAGCCTAATAAATTATCTAATTAAAACTTTATTGATTAAGCTTTAATTTCTAACAAATTTTACACCTTTTATTTCTAATAAATTTGACACCTTTAATCTAGTCTACGAAGCCTAATTGGAAAAATTTTAATCGAATAGAGAAGTATGGAAAAAGTTTAAAATTTATCACAAAAATTCCAATCGAATAGAGAGAAGTATGGAAAAGGTTTACAATTTATCACATATTTGTAAGAGGTTAATTTCTATGTAGTGACAGTTTAAAATAAGTACAGAGAACAAATTAAAACAATATATCCGTTTAAGACACTCAACGAGATACTTCAAATTTTCTAAAGATCGTAGAAAGTGATTTTGATTGGTGTTTAATTGTTAGCTCATTTGCTAACTGATGAGTAATCAGTATCATAAGTTTTTTTTAATCGACTGAAAGGAACAATTAGTCATTGAAATTTCCAATCCCAAGATGTCTGAAAGTGGTCTATAATTTAGTACAAGCTGTTAAAAAATAACACATTAAAACTATATATTTGTTAAAGAAAAAAGTTTATATGAGTTGAGCATCAATCGAACTCGCAATTTTTAGATCTTCGGTCTAATGCTCTCTCAAGTGAGCTATCCCCACAAGTTTAATACATCTCACCGTTACTCTATTTCATTCATTCACATAAATTAGATCAATTTTCATTTATTCAATTAGAAATTACAGGAATCATAAGCGAAACGACAAGAATTTCATAGTTGTACTAAATTTAATTAGTAAGTATTTTTTACTAGTTTCATTTGATTTTAAAATCATAATTTTTTTTCTTAAAATAGCAAATTGAAGTAAAATAAGAGTAAGCTCATAATTTCAGCTTAAGCTATGATATTCTCTTACTTAGCCTCTAAAATATTTTAAATTATTCTCTCAAATTTGTTTACATATTTTTTTTTTATAATCCTTTTACACATTAAAAGAGAGTAATAACACAACTGGTTGTTTACTTGTCTTTTATTTGATTGTCAGTTATAAAAAGATGAGAGAAAAAATATATTAAATATAATTTATATTTAATTTTATCTTAAAAAAAATAAAAGTTGAGTTTTACTCTTATATTTTAGAACAACAAAAATATATTTTTCTCTCTTATATTTTAGGACCGAAGAAATATATTGTAGGGGACAACTTTTTTATCTATCACAAAAACTTAGATGGTATATCTTCAACCAATCAATTAATGACATATCATTTTATTATCTTAATGATTTATTTAATAATTTAAATTTTAGAGATTTTCAATACACTTTACTCTATAGATAACTCTCCTTAACTTTTTGAGATGCACAACTAAAAATTTACCATAAAAAAGACTTTACATTGATTACGTAAATTTTTTAGTATACTCCTTTTACCACTAGCGTGGCTTCGACCAAGAGTGTCATATGACGTTTGTTTCATAATATGGATTCATTTGAACTAATTGACTTCTTACCTCTTTGTCTCTAACAATTTCTCTAAGTCCCATTTTTTTTCAAATGCTTTCATTTCTTCATCTATGCTAAAACTCAATTTTTGTTTTTTAATGTCTCTTGAACAAATTCAACAACTTCAACAACTTCAATAAAACTCTGGTACCGTAGAAATTTCAAATTCTCAATGAAATTTTTCAACTGTTTCTTTGATACCGCCGACATAGCCAAACTCCTTGTAGAAAGACACCAATTTTCTCTTCAAGTATAACTCTTATGGGAACAAGTCTTTTTCCTTGTAGGCGTAAGATTCGGTCCTCGTCAGTAAATGACTCTGACTCTATAACTTACGAAATAAATTTGTACACATACAGAAATTCATGTTCTATTTTACATATCTTTGCATGAGCCTCTTCTTCAAAGGGAGTAATAAAAAAGAAGTGATCTTTGAAATGTTTCACGTGTCAGAATATGTCTAAAAGAATTTAGAATTATGCTTCAAAGAAATCATACCTAGATCACACACGTGATTAGCAGTACTATTTTGAGTCTTAAAAATTTGGAAGAACAACATCACAACTGTTTTACCCCCATTATATCCACATTAATATTGAAAAACGTTGACAAACACCTAGCTCATCGAACGCAATTACAAAGGGTGATCATCTGGTGGTTCATAACACTAATCTTAAAGTCATTAAATAAAAGATGGAAGCCTACGAGAGAAATAAACATTCGTGAAAAGGGATGACACATCTGTCATATTGGCTGCATACCCTCTTATCTTCATCTTGTGGAAACACTCCTCGGTCGGATGGAGAACCCACATCAGTCGAAACATGGTCTAAGCTCCTCTCGTAGGCGAAAGCGGAGACGAACCCTAATGTTTCTCGGTCCACTCAGTCATCCAAGATATCTTTCTTCGCCTTCCTACTCATAGTTGGTGCAATCTCCATAATTAAAAGCACTACAAAGAAGAGCTTGGTACATACAAGATTGGATATGCAAGCAAGTTCAAACACAGACTCTCCTATTAAAAAGTGTCAACAACAGAAGAAATATTTTGAAAATAAAAATATAGTGTTAGAAAATATTTTATTTCCTTATTTTATTGTTTCCATTTATTCCCTATTATTTTTCTTTATTCTCCATTAAGGAGATAATTAATTATCATTATTGTATTACCACTATATAATTCAGTCTAGAGTTGGGAAATAAAATCATAACAAAATTTTATCATTCTTTTCAATATGTTATCAAGAGCACTATGTTAGGGTTTTACTATAAAATTTCCTATAACTAGTGGAATTCGGGGTTTTACAGTAAAAATTTCCGCTTAATCCGTTTTTTTATCCGACCCGCTTCACATACTCTTTTAGCCCCTATGGTGAATCAGAACAACAAATGGCCTTCCCTAACACATGCCTACACCAGACCCAACCATGGCAAACAACTATCACCCGAGTCAGGCGGTGACCGTGCATTTCAGGCTAGTAATTCTGATCAAGGGCAATAAATATCTTTGACTCAACTTTTACTAACTACGAAACAACTAGACAAACTGTTCAAACTCATCGAGTCTCCAACTCTTTTTTGCTCTATAACAACAAAAGGTAATTCTGCATTTCTTAGTGTCAGTCCCAGTCATACTTGAATAGTAGATTCAAGTTCCTCTAATCATATGACAGGCAAATCTACTTTGTTCTCTTCATATAGTCTATGTGCAGGTAATCAAAAAATAAAAATTGCAGATGACTCTTTTTCATCCATTGCAGGTAAATGGTCAGTTGTGTTGTCTCCAGTGTTAACTCTTTAAAATATTTTTCATGTTCCAAACTTATCATGTAATTTAATATTCGTCAGTAAATTAGCCCAAGATATGAATTGTCAAACTAATTTTTTTTCCGATCTCATTGCGTCTTTCAAGATTTGAACTCATGCAAGATGATTGGCAGTGCTAAGGAGAGTGAAGGACTCTACTACCTTGAGTTTTCTGTTTTGAATAATAAAGATGACAACATTATGGTATGGCATTTAAGATTAGGTCATCCTAGTTTTCGTTACATAAAATACATATTTTCTAAGTTATTTCATAATAAGAACTTTTCTTCGTTTAAGTGTGAAGCATGTGAGTTTGCAAAACATCATCGTTCCCAATTTTCAATACAACCTCATAAACCATCAAAACCTTTTTCTATTATTCACAATGATGTTTGGGGCCCTAACCATACAAGCACACTTTCTCTAAAAAAATGGTTTATCACATTTATAGATGACCATACAAGAGTATGTTGGGTGTACTTGTTAAAGGGGAAGTCAGATGTTTGTCAGGCTGTAAAGAATTTTTTTACAATGGTGCAGAACCAATTTCAAACAAATATCCAAGTCTTTAGAAGTGATAATGGCAAAGAATATTTTAACATTATTCTAACTGAGTTTTTTTTTCTAAAAAATGGGATTGTACATCAAAGTTCATGTCCTAATACTCCTCAACAAAATGGAGTTGCTGAAAGAAAAAATAGACATTTATTGGAGGTTGTTAGAGCTATACTTTTTTCCAATAAAGTACCAAATTATTTGTGGGACGAAGCTGTTTTAACAAATGCATATTTAATTAACAGAATGCCCTCCAAAATTCTCAATTTTCAAACTCTAATTAATACATTCAAAGAATATTTTACTAGTACTCGTGTTTTAACTTATATGACATTAAAAAAATTTGGTTGCACAACTTTTGTTCATGAACATAAAAATGTTGGGAAACTTGAACCACATGCTATAAAATGTGTTTTTGTTGGATACTCCCCAACCCAAAAAGGATATAAATGTTTTGATCCAAAAAACAAGAAAAATATTTGTCACTATGGACGTTACATTCTTTGAAAAAAAATATTTTTTTATGACACTCATCTTCATTGAGGGATATAAAGGAAGACTTGTTTCAAATCGATGACATTAGTTTCTTAAATAATTTATCTTTTTCTTGTATCACAAAGTTCTAAGACTTATATATTTGCACCAACATAAAATGGTCATGATTCTTTATCTGATCCTACTCCTATTATGAGTAAGGGACTTTGTGAATACGAGCCTACATTTTCTCATGTAGAAAACAATGAGAATCCTGAAAACAATGATAATGATGATCTAATTTAAATACCACAAAATAATGAATCACTTCAAGAAAACAAATTTGAATTAGGAAACTAGACTTGAAAAGGGAAGGTTTTTGTGAAAAAAACACCACAAAGGAAGGGATGAGTCCACATCTCAACACTTTCAGGAATATGAACCGGGGAATGATCAACCTCCTAAGAATAGGAAAGGTAAGTCCATCTCTATTTCTGAAATTTGTATTTTGTATCCTGATATATGATCATGTTGCCATTAGAAAACCTGTTAGATCTTGTACTAAACACCTCATGTCCAATTTTATATCATATTCAAATTTGTCTTCACCTCTGTTTGCTTTCACCTTAAATTTTTCTAGTGTAGAAATTCCAAAAAATGTACAGGTTGCTCTAGAAATTCCAAAGTGGAGGAAAGTTGTACTTGAGGAGATGAAAGCTCTAGAAAAGAACAAAACTTGGAGCGTTACAACACTACTGGATGGCAAAAAGACAGTTGGGTGCAAATGGGTGTTTATTGTGAAGTATAATTCATATGGGTCAATTGAAAGGTAAAAGACTCGCTTGGTGGCTAAAGGCTTTACTCATACCTATGGTATAGAATACTCAGAGACATTTGCTCCTGTTGTAAAACTGAACACTGTCAGAATTCTTTTATCTCTTGCTACTAACTTGGATTGGCCCCTACACCAGTTAGATGTTAAGAATGTCTTTCTTAATAGTGATCTAGAAGAAAAAGTATACATGGACATTCCTCCGGGATTTGAAAACAAATTTGGATCAAATGTATGCAAACTAAATAAGTCTTTATATGGATTAAAGCAGTCCCCTAGAGCTTGATTTGAAAAATTCACTTAATCCATGAAGAAACAATGGTACATTTAAGGACATACTGATCACACCTTGTTCACAAAGTTCTCCCACGATGGAAAATTCACTGCCCTGATTGTTTATGTTGATGATATTATCCTTACTGGAGATGATACTGTTGAAATGGCAAGTGTAAAAGAGAAACTAACAATAGACTTTCAAATCAAGGACTTAGGATCTATGAGATATTTTCTTGGTATGGAGGTTGCTCGGTCAAAGAATGGTATTGTGGTTTCACAATAAAAATACATTTTAGACTTATTGAAAGAAACAGGAATGAGTGGATGTCGTCCTACAGATACCCCTATGGATCCTAATGTTAAACTTTGGGGAGAAGGTAATATTCCTGTTGATACTGGAAGATATTAGAGATTGGTTGAAAAATCGATTTATTTGTCACACACCCGACCTGATATTGCTTTCTCAGTTAGTGTAGTAAGTCAGTTTATGCATTCTTCTTACGAGGAACATCTTGAGGCAGTCTATAGGATATTGAGATATTTAAAGGAAAATCCTAACAAAGGCTTACATTTTAAGAAAACTAGTAAAAGAAATGTGTTTATCTTCACCGATGTTGATTGGGCAGGTTCAATCACAGATAGAAGATCAACCTCTGGATATTGTACCTATGTATGGGGTAATCTTGTGACATGGATGAGCAAGAAACAAGGAGTTGTAGCAAGAAGTAGCGCAGAAGCCGAGTTTAGAGCTATGTCTCAAGGTATTTGTGAAGAATTATGGATCTTTAGAGTCCTAGAAGAACTTAAGATGAAAATTAAGCTTCCATTGAAATTATACTTGACAGTAAAGTTGCCATTAACGTAGCTCATAACCCACTTTAACATGACAGAACCAAGCATATTGAGATTGATCGGCACTTCATAAAGAATAAGTTAGACGCTGGAATCATATGTCTCCCTTTTGTGACTTCAAGTCAGCAAACTACGAATATCTTGATCAAAAGTTTGGCAAGACCTATCTTTGAGCATTTGATAGACAAGTTGAGCATGATAGATATCTATGCAGCAATTTGAAGAGATGGGTGTTGGAAAATATTTTATTTCCTTATTTTATTATTTCTGTTTATTCCCTTTTATTCTCCTTTATTCTCCATTAAGGAGAGAATTAATTATCATTATTATATTACCACTATATAAATCAGCCTAGAGGTAAGGAATAAAACCCTAACAATATTTTATCATTCTTTTCAATACAGAGGTATAAAAAATTCTCTACCAAGGAAACCCTTTGAAAAGAGGCAAAAGCAAGAAGATGTTGGCTTTATCGTAAAGAAAATTAATCGATCATGCATGATAAGAAAGACATAAAGGAATTCTTTTAGGGGTTGTTTGGGAGTTGATTTTTGGAGGATTTTGGAGGCGAATACTTTGGAATGTTGCGTCTATATTTTGAAATTTGTTTGATATTTTTTAAAATTTTAAAAATAATATGATTTTATATGCTAATATAATATATTATTTTCAAAAAATTTTAAAAATATCACACATTTCAATATATAGACGCAACCCTCCAAAGTCTTTCCCTCTAAAATCCTCCAAAAACCAACTCCTAAACAACCCTTTACAGTCCGTTAATGGCTAAAAAGGGGCAAAACGATACTTTGGAGACCTCATATAGGCGGCTAATCCATTAAGGTCATACAATCCACTGCGCACCATTAACATTTGAGGTTTTATTGAAAACTGTTCAAAGTACTTAAGTGCTCTAAAGAAGAGGAAACATCGTCAACAACTAGTGTAGGGAGAGTCGTCATTTATTCCCAACAAAATGTTACCTATTATGAGAAGAGTATTAAAAGCATTTGTTCCCGATGACAGACACGTCCCATCGAAGGCTTTCACTTCCCTGATCCAACAACCGGGTTGGAGCATGTTCAACAAATCTTCATCCTGCAGAGCAAATACAAGAGCTTGGGAGACAACTGTTTCATGTCATTCGTGAGGTCCAAGATGAAAGGTCCAATGACACGACGGAGGCAGTAAAGCACGCAGAACATGTATACCCTTTCTTCCCTAAAAACAGACAATTATGCCAACTAGAGTTTTGTTGATCGTCCAGATCAATTTGACAACTCACCACGATCCACACCTCACTCCACGCTTACCGTTGTTAACCGTTTCTCCTATTTAAGAGGAAAGACACGCCATTTCTCCGGAATTCAAATTCATTCTTACTCACAATTATTTTCTTTCTCTTACTGACTTAAGCGTTTGAGTGCTAATCTTGTAGGGCAACTTCCTCTCTGCCACATCGAAAGCTCAGGTTCCCTGAAACAAACTCTGCTTCCTATTTTATCGATCAATTATAGTTCCACTAAAAAAACAGAAAATAAGGATGAAAGAGACTTGACGGGTTGGAGACAAATGCTTGGAAACCAAGTCACGGATTCTCGTTCAGGTATCTTAGCAACCTCCTTGTCCAGCCAAGATTTGTATCAACACAGATGATGTATTGCGTGGGAGCAATGAAGTTGCTAGGTGTGGTGAAGTTATGAAAGATGAGCATGGTAAGTGGATCTGTAGCTTTACTGAGGCTATAGGCGCTGCTAATTCTTATATGGAGAAGTAGTGGACAGCCTTTGAAGGTCTTAGACTCGCCGGAGCTAGAGGTATCTTAACTGGGACTCATTGATGGTTGTTTCGGGTATTCAAGGAGAGGCTCAAGGTAGTTTGCAAAGGTGGAGCTTGATCAAAGGGATACACTGCCTTCATCATGAGGAGCGGCATGTTCGGGTGGTCGGTCATGTTTATCTTAAGGCATATAGGGCTGCATATAGATTGGCTAATAATAATATGGAGTGTAATAGAGAAGGATTTCAGCTATTGGATCATCCTAAAGAATCTCTGTGAATCCCATATATTGGTCTAGAAATCACTTAAAATCTATTTATTGAATGGAAAATACAATCAGAATCCAAGGATCCATTCAATAAAAAAAAGTATCAATTCTAAACAGGCATACAGTATCATCTTAACCAAGATCAGCATTCATGAATAACTGAATTCATATCCACGGGAAGTTTTCATGTTCTCATACCCTGCTACTGTGCCTTCAATGCAACTGTGTATTTCTCACCACAAGCACACTTGATCTCATGACAGATCTCCTGCAAAGTCAGGGGAAATGATTTAAGGGAAAACTAAAACACGGTTTTGACTTTTACTTTGGACGGAAAATCTTTATTAAATATTGTTAATAGATTATTTATATTTGATGTCTGCACTCAAATACATGTCATAACAATTTTGTTGATTGTTATTCAAGTAAAACGAAAATTTTCAGGGGAGTAAACCTATTTTACCCGGAGTTTTTCAACTTGTTTCTCCATAGACTGCAAGTATTCGGTTTCTCCAGCTTTGTCTGACAAAAGAGCATTATACTCTTCTTCAATAGCAGTTATATCAGCTGCTTTTAGCTCGGGCTAGCTCATTCATTAGAACAAATAATTAAATAAGTTCTTCTGCAAAATCACTTTTAAAATCCACAAAGTTATTGATTGTTTCCAATTAAGAAAAATTAAAGAAGCTTACATGTCCAAGATAGTGCTAATCAGTATATATGTGTGTGTGTGATATGCAAGAGTCTAGATGTATGTTTGTGCGCACCCCTGCATGTATAATGAAAATGTCCCCCCCTTGTTCATCTTAAAGGAATGTTATGATAATCACATTTCTAAAACCTCTGTATAATAACCAACCTTAAACTCATTTTCTCTGCACTTGACATCCTCAATAGCGAGTTTTATCTAAAATGAAAAACAAATAATAGTAAGCAAAGAAAGTTTGAAGACCATACTACCGTATTAGCATAATATAAATCAAATTCAAATTATCCCATTTGGATTATGGCTATAGAAGTCACACATTTGCTCACAGTTTCTCAAGACTTTCGACCTCATAATTTTTTGATCCAATACTTGGATTTCTCTCAATGCAAAATATTGATTTTCGAAATAGTCAAAAGAAACTTTGACAAAGTAAAAATGGTTGCATCTAATTAACTTTGTGAAAGCTTAAAAATTGACAAGTGTAAAAATAAAATTGCCTGCCTTTAAAAGTAATAAGGACATTTCATATATGAAGAACTTATCGACAATTAGAATAAAACTCTAATTAAATTGAATGAATCACAATTCTAAACCAAGAGGCAGCAAAAAAAAACAGAAGGAACAGAACGTTAGGATAAGATGCTCAAAATATTTTGTATTGGTTTTGAATGCAGGGTTCAACCTTGACCATGGTAGATAGGATGCATGGTGCACATATTCCAGCATGTGTTGTAGATTATACAGATGAAATGGCAAAAAAGTGTAGAAGTTGTTGAAGAAAATTGGAAAACTAAAGAGAAGTAGGAAGGATATATGGAACTAATAGTGTTAACACATTGTTAGGCAGTTAGTTTACTTTCTGTTGCAGTTAGTTTACTTTCTGTTATACCATTCTGTTAGAATATTTGCTTAGCTGTCACTTTCTGTTAGTGAAGCTTTAGTTAGTTTTGATCTAAGCCTCTCTTTATAAAAGAGTGCTTTCTGTATCTTCAAGATTAACAAATACAGAATAACAGAATCTCATCTTCTCCAATTGCTTTCTTCTTTTCTCTTCTTACCTAATTCTATCATGGTATCTAGAGCTTAAATTTTTTTCCGATCCATGGAGTCCTTGTTTCCGTCTTCGCAAGTGAAGCTTTCTCACTTGATCTCTGTGAAGCTTGATGAAAGAAACTTCAAGCAATGGAAGCAACAGATTGACGGAATCGTACGCGGTCATCGCCTTCAACGGTTTGTTACTGTTCCGGTGATTCCTCAGAGATCACCGTCCGATTCCGATACTACACCACGTGGTGAAAATTCTGCGTACCTGGAGTGGGAACAACAAGACGCACTTGTCTGCACTTGGCTCCTCTCTACTGTATCAGATTCGCTTCTCCCAAAGCTTGTTGAGTGCAGACATTCGTGGCAGGTATGGACTGAAATCCATCGCTACTTCAATACGCTCCTCACAACCAAAGCGCGTCAACTGCGATCGGAGCTCCGACAGCTTACGAAAGGTACTCGCACTGTTACGGAACTCATCGCGCGTACACGCCAAATCAGCGAATCTCTGCTTTCGATTGGGGATCCAATTCCGTTACGTAACCTAATCGAGATCGTTCTTGATTCTTTGCCTGAAGAGTACGGTCCAATTGTCGCTGCTGTCAACAGCAAAGATGAATTGAGTTCCTTGGATGAATTGGAGTCGTCACTGTTAGCGCATGAATCGCGCCTTGAGAAGCATCGTAAGGATGTGGTTACTGAACCGGCAACGGTGAATCTCACTCAGGCGCTGTCGTCGTCGTCCTTGACGGCTACCTCTGATCAACCAGCGCCGACTGACACTTTCCCTCAAGGTACGAGTCACGTGACTGCCAACGCTGATAATCACGCTTATGGTTCTCGTGGAGGTCGTTCCGGTCGTGGTGGTGGTCGCTATGCACGTGGTGGAGGCCGTTTTGGCAAAATGCAATGCCAGATTTGTCATAAAGCTGGACATGACGCGTCTGTCTGCTACTATCGTTACTCTAATTCCAGCAGTGCTGCATATCCACCTCCAAGAGCTTCGTATAATCCTTTCCTTATGCAATCACGCCCTATGTTTCCAGCTCAGTTTGGTTATTCTGTTCCCAGAGGTAGTGCACCTCCCAGATCTTCTGCACCACAGGCGTTTTATGCAGGTTCTGAAGCTGGTTTTAATAACCAATGGTGGTATCCTGATTCAGGAGCTTCTCATCATGTTACTCCCGATGCCTCTAATTTGTCTGACTCTGTTTCTTTGCCAGGAACTGAGCAAGTTTTCATGGGAAATGGCCAAGGTTTGTCTATAAATTCTGTTGGTTCCATGTCCTTTCACTTGCCACATACTTCTAACCTATCTCTTACCCTTAGAAATCTGCTCCTTGTCCCTAATATAACCAAAAACTTAATGAGTGTGAGCAAATTTGCTCAAGATAATCATGTCTTTTTTGAATTTCATCCTAATTTCTGTGTTGTTAAATCTCAGGCTATTTCTGAAGTGTTACTTCGTGGGTCTGTTGGAGATGATGGACTTTACAAGTTCTCTAATCCTACCACTTAGCTATTCAAGTCTAGTTTTCCAAATTCTTGTTCTGCCCAACCTCCAAACTGCAGGGCTAGCTGTAATTTGTCCTTTTCATCTGCAGCACACAATACTCTTGTTATCAGTTGTTTACCAAATTGTATAAATCATTGTAATACTCTTTGTAATCCTGATCAGTTTCATATTAATACGAGCAGTTTTACTCATACTCCTTCTCTTAATTCCACCACTTACAATACTCATGTATCCTCTTCACATTCTAATAGTTCATCCTCCATAGCCACAAGTAAATATGTTCTTTGGCATACTAGATTGGGACACCCTAATCATCATTCTCTAGTTGAAGTTTTCAAACTATGCAACTTTCCCAATTTTCCCAAACCACCTACTGAATTGTGTCAAGCTTGCTGCCTTGGCAAGTCTCACAGATTACCCTCTACCCTATCTACCACTGTTTACACTCATCCCTTTGAATTAGTTGTCTGTGATCTTTGGGGTCCTGCACCTATAACATCTACAGGTGGTTACACATACTTCCTCACTTGTGTAGATGCCTTTTCTAGGTTTGTCTGGGTCTTTCCTCTCAAACTCAAATCTGATACATTTTTCCAGTTTACTCAGTTTAAGAAAATGGTTGAACTTCAATTCAATTGTCCTATCAGATGTGTTCAAAGTGATGGTGGAGGAGAGTTTAGGCCTCTCACCAAATATCTAAATGATTTGGGTATTGTTCATAGGCTCACCTGTCCTCATACTCATCATCAAAATGGCCTTGTTGAACGTAAGCATAGGCATATAGTTGAAACAAGACTCACACTTCTAGCCCAATCCACTCTTCCTCTAAAATTTTGGGACCATGCCTTTGTCACAGCTGCCTATCTTATTAACAGAATACCTAGTCTCACAATTGACAATTTATCTCCCTATTTCAAACTTCTTAATAAGCCTCCAGATTATTCAAACCTTAAGGTCTTTGGCTGCTCTTGCTATCCCTTCCTTCGTCCCTATAATGCTCACAAGTTAGCCTATAGGTCCCAAGAGTGCTTATTTCTTGGCTATTCTACAGCTCTTAAAGGTTACAAGTGCCTAGCTCCTGATGGCCACATCTATATTTCCAAAGATGTGGTGTTTCACGAGTCTAAATTCCCATACCAGTCCTTGTTTCCCACTGCATCTCAATCTTCCATTTCCAACACAAATCTCAATTCTACTAATGCTTCCTCTTGGTCATTACCTTCTATAATTTCATCCCCTGAATCCAGGCAGCCTACACCCTCTCCTTCCCTTAATCCTCCTTCTCCTACTCAGGCTGAACATCATCAATCTGTCTCTCCTTCCGTCTCTCAGTCTGAGTCTATCTCAGCTTCTCACTCTAGTTCTACTGCATCCCATATTCCTTCATGTTCTGCTACAGCTTCTCATACTCATGACCAACCAATTCTAGCTAATGCTGACCACACCCTTCCCTGTTCTCCTGCCCTCATTCTTTCAGACCCTGCTGAAGCATCTACCATTTCTCCCTCTTCCTCTACAACTGGCTCCTCTAACCCTTCTCCCTCTAACCAACCTTTTATCAATCCTCTCAATGTGCATTCTATGCAAACCAGAGCCAAAAGTGGCATTACCTTACCTAAACTCAATCCCACAATGCTTTTAACTCACATGGAACCAACATCGATTGATCAAGCCTTGGCTACTCCTCATTGGTTCCAAGCAATGAAAGAAGAATTTCAGGCATTGATGAGAAATCAGACCTGGACTTTGGTGAAAGCACCCGATTCTAGAAAGCCAATTGGCTGCAAGTGGGTCTTTAGGACCAAAGAAAACCCTGATGGATCTGTCAACAGGTACAAGGCCAAATTAGTTGCAAAAGGGTTTCATCAGAGGGCTGGCAGTGATTTTCAGGAGACTTTTTCACCAGTCATCAAGCCTGTCACAGTCAGAACAGTCCTTACTATTGCTGTCACAAACAAATGGATCATCCAGCAAATTGATGTCAATAATGCCTTTCTAAATGGCACTCTTGAGGAGGAAGTTTTCATGCAACAACCCCCTGGGTTTGCAGCCTCTGACAGGTCCCTAGTATGTAAGTTGAACAAAGCTATCTATGGGTTAAAACAAGCCCCTAGGGCCTGGTTTGACAAACTCAAGAGTGCCCTATTTCAGCATGGTTTTCGAGCTAGTAGGTGTGATCCCAGCCTGTTTCTGCTCCATCAAGGCAAGCTTCAGATCATGGTTCTTGTATATGTTGATGATATCATCATTACAGGAAATCCAGCTTCCTTTATCACATCCTTGATCAAGCTTCTTAATGATAAATTCTCATTGAAACAGTTGGGACAGCTTGACTACTTCCTAGGCATTCAGGTTTCTCACCTCCCTAATGGTTCCATTCTTCTCTCTCAAACAAAGTATCTTACTGATTTACTCTCAAAAGTAAATATGCTCAATGCTAATGCCATGCCCACTCCCATGGCTTCTACCAGTAAATTATCAAAGGTGGGTTCTATTCCTGTTAAGGATCCTACTCAGTTCAGATCTGTTGTGGGTGCCTTGCAGTATGCCACATTAACTAGGCCTGAAATTTCTTATTCTGTCAACAAAGTCTGTCAGTTCCTGTCCAATCCCCTGGAGGAACATTGGAAGGCAGTCAAAAGGATCCTAAGGTATTTGAGTGGCACCATAGAGCATGGGTTACTCTTGCAACCTGCCCCTGTTCATCAACCTATGCAGTTACTAGGGTTTTGTGATGCTGACTAGGCATCTGACCCTGATGACAGAAGATCCACTTCAGGCGCCTGTGTTTTTCTTGGCCCAAATGTCATCTCCTGGTGGTCCAAGAAGCAGCAGTTGGTGGCCAGATCCAGTGCTGAGGCTGAGTATCGTAGTATGGCTCTGTTGGCTGCTGAGTTATTGTGGGTTCAGTCTCTGCTCAAAGAAATTAACTGTCCCTTTCAAGTGCCAAAAATCTTATGCGACAACTTAAGTACAGTCACACTTGCCCATAATCCTATTCTCCATAATAGGACTAAACACATGGAGCTGGACATCTTTTTTGTGAGGGAAAAAGTTCTGAGCAAAAGTCTCTCAGTAGTTCATGTCCCAGCTCAAGACCAGTGGGCTGACATCCTGACCAAACCTTTGTCTGCTGCCAAGTTTGTTCCTCTGCGTGGAAAGTTGAAGGTGTTTAATAAGAATGACTTATCCAGACCACCCTCAACTTCTAAAGGGGACTAATAGTGTTAACACATTGTTAGGCAGTTAGTTTACTTTCTGTTGCAGTTAGTTTACTTTCTGTTATACCATTCTGTTAGAATATTTGCTTAGCTGTCACTTTCTGTTAGTGAAGCTTTAGTTAGTTTTGATCTAAGCTTCTCTTTATAAAAGAGTGCTTTCTGTATCTTCAAGATTAACAAATACAGAATAACAGAATCTCATCTTCTCCAATTGCTTTCTTCTTTTCTCTTCTTACCTAATTCTATCAGGAACAAACAAAATTTCAAATGTTTTACTACATGGCAAAACTAAACAATCAAAAACTTGAGTAATGAATAATGAACAATTAACAGTTTAAAAAGGATGCAGTTAAGTGCCTTATCGATGTCCATGGGAATCTTGGATTTCATCACAAGAATCTCATCAAGCCTTTCTTTAGCTGAATCCAAGTCAGTGATTAAGTTCCTCTTTGCATCACTCCCCTGTCAGATAAAGATAAGTTACCAGATTCCAACTCCGTGCAGGACAAATTGATGAAAAAGGTAAAATACCAGCTTATCTATGACATGGTTACCATCAGCAACAGTCCTCCCTGCATGTTAGGTTTAAGAAAAGAAATTTTGATATCAATTTAGTTTCATAAAACTGCTTTTAAATATATATATAATGCTTGTGGTTGTAACTCAATAATTTTCTCCCTTCGTAAATTGAATATCAAAAAACAAAAAAGTGGACATTCGATTCAGTGTTTAGCCATGCCTTCAGATTCACTTTGTCCATGAACTATATCCCCAACCTGCATAAACTCAACATAAAAGTGACTAGCAGAGACTTGTCGGTGAAGCACTTTCTTTATTCTATCTTTCGGTCAGTAGTTTATCAGACACTATTATGTTTGAATCCTCTCATGTGTGGACATTCAATGAGGAGCTTGTGTGGGAGATCTCAATATTAAAATCCATTTAATTTTAAGTTGTAAGATTCAATAAATATTAATAGTGAGATTTTCCACATAAGCCTCTCTGTAAAATCCCCATATGATCGGAGAACTCAAATCTAAAATTCTATATAAGGATCTTATGATATTTATATGAATAAGGAAAAGGATACAAACTTTATGCTCTTTCAGTTCTCTGCTAATCTTCGTAGTTCTTATCCATTCCTGCCAGAGATTTCTATTCAGTACATAGTTGCAACAAACCCAATGAAAGAACAATGGAAAATATTAAGGGGCTTAATCATTAATGTTGAATGTCGAGACAAAACTGTGTAATTTAATTTCCATGCTGAGCATGTATTTCAAATGACATTATTTTTCTGACATAGTCATCCCTTTCTTGTCAACATTTGTTTTCAGTTGTTAAAAGATACTGTTTCATGCATTGACCCTGTCACTCCAAAGGTAAGAATTAACATTAAAAACAAACAATAAAAGAATACCCGTTGCTTCTCGAATTCGGCAACCATGTTCTCTGCAACTGTGCTATAGTAGGCTCTGAAAATGAAAATCAATTTAGATGGATAACCATAAAATGTACAAAACTCTCACACCACTCAGCATCCTCACTTACCTCCTCTCTGAAAATTTGGCAGATAACCCAGCTTTCTCTTGCCGAATAAGCTCCATGGTCTATTAGAAGAGATGGTCACGAACAACATCAGGAATGCAGAACAACAGAAAAAACCAAGTTCAGTCATAAAAAATTATATTCATCATCCTTTCAGCTTGACATTGCAAATAAATGGATATAACTTTAACAAGATCTATCAATAGACAAATCCTCTATACCTGTGTAAGTCTGGATGAATCAGACTCCAAGGCAGCAAGCTTTTTCTGGTTTTCCATTATCGTCGAACATATCTCAACCTTAGACTTATTCATCTTCTCCGTATCTCCAACCACTTGCGCAATCTCAGATTTCGCTGCTTATAATAATTATGAGAGTGTTTAAAAAGCAGATCACAAATTTACAGAAAAGTACATTCAATGAGATTCCAATTCCATATATTTACAAAAGTTAGTTTGTTTTACTTCTTAGACTATAGGTCGTGTTGGATCAATGAAAATGACGTTAAAACTGAACGCGAATTTGAACTTAAACTGAACTGCTACATATGATACTGAGAAATTTCGATGTATGAGATTCCAAATCTAGGAATACTCTAGCAATTTCAGTTGTTCAGATTTTAGGTAATATACATTGTTTAGATCGATGAAAATGATATCAAAATACAGCGCGAATTTGAATGAAAACTAAACCGCTGCATATGATCTATGAGATCTAAATCGAATACTATATAGTTCATACAATATATTTAGCGAATTTTGATTATTTTACTTCCTAGAGTATAAACAGTGTTTGGATCGGTGAAATAATCACCAAAATTCGACGCGAATCTGAAATTTGACCTGAATCGATGTCGCTTTCCAAAGTGTGAATGTTCGTCATCTGCATTTGCTCTTCTGCAGAAATTTTTGCGGCTTGATCCTCCGCATCTGGAATCAGTTACAGTTTTCAAATTCAGATCGATGAAAAAGGTGTGAAGTGATTTGAGATTAGGAATGTACCGTTCATGTGAGAGCGTAGAGTCTTCATGTACTGCAAATATTCATCCATCTTCTTCGCGATCGCAGTTTCGGTGATTCCTTTTTAGGTTTGAATGGTTTGAATGGAAAGGAAATTTGGAGGGAAAGGCTATTTATAGAACTTGTGTTGATGCGGTTCACGTTGGGGTTTCGTACACTATTTTTTGGACAAAGGGTAAAGTATAGTAGTATCACTTTCAAAACAAGTAAGCGAGTAGTTAAATATATCATGTAATATTACTATAATATTTTAATGTACTAAAACTATGGAAATGTCACTTTTTATATTCAATTTTATTTTCAAATGTGTATTATTATTATTATTATGTTAATTAATTTAATTCTGTATGCAAAAAATATAAGTTAAAAACAAACTAATAAGTCTTGTTAAATAAGGTCAATTAATACATGCATACACATTCAATTATAGAGGTGTTATTCGAAAATGTGATATTTTATTTATTTCCTTTGATACAATTTATTGAAAAAAATTGATATCTTTTAAGAACTAAAATGACACTACCTCACATATTTATACTATGTTTGGTATGAAGATTATTAAAAAAACAATTTGAAAATCATAAATATTTTAAAACTAAAATGACACTACTTCACATATTTATACTATGTTTGGTATGAAGATTATTAAAAAAATATGTGAAAAGTAAAGTAAATTTAAAATATTATTTGATATGAAAGAAAGAGATGAGAAAATAGAAGTGAAAGAAAGAGATGAGAAAATAGAAGTGATAAGTTATATAATTTTTTGAATGGACAAATATACTTTTTAAAAATTTACTTTTGAAAATATTTGTGGTTGATCAATCACAAAAAAAAAAGTATTTTGTATACAAATTCAATGTCAACTATAAAATTATATATATATATATATATATATATATATATATATATATATATATATATATATATATATATATATATATATATATATATATATATATATATATATATATATATATATATATATATATATATATATATATATATATATATATATATATATATATATATATATATATATATATATATATATATTTATTTATGAAAGTTGTTCATTACATCATATTTTCTTTTTATAAATTTTGTGTGAAATTCTTATACTTTTGTTTAGTCGATCTCACGTAAAAAATTGAAAAATGTGTTCGAAAAATAATATTTGAATATATATATCTTAAAATTAATGTTTAGCTAAAACTACTCTAGACTAATATGTTTCCTAGATTTCAATTCTCATGAACACATCTATGTTATCACTACAACTCAACTTCAAGGTAAAATATTAGGAGGTAGGTTTATTCTCCTTAATTATGTCCTTAATGTTTTTACATTTTTTTTTCTTTCTTTTCTTAAGTTGCATGTGAAAGTATTGAAAGAATTTGGTTAGGATTCAACGGAGATTTTTTTTGGATGGAATGAAATGGATTTTGAAGTAGTTTGAAGTGTGTAAATCAAAGAAATATGGGTGGTTTGTGTGTTAAAGATCCTACACTGATAAACTTAGCTTTTGTGTGTTAAAGATCCTACACTGATAAACTTAGCTCTTCTTGCTAAGTGAAGATAGAGGCTCGTGTGGAGCCCATATGATATTTGGTCGGATATTTTATTTGTCTGTTATGGAGTTTCTTCTGTGTATTCTTAGTGTGAAGGTAGGTCTTTGAGGCTCTCATGTTCTACTTGTTGGAGAGGAGTGACCCTGCTTGAATCCAAGAAAGAGGGTCTTATGAATTGGTTTGAGAAGGCCTTGTCTAATAAGGTTGGATCAGGCTGTTCGACTTCCTTCTAGAAAGATCTTTGGTTTGATAGTAGTACTTCTTTATTGATTAAATTTAGACATTTCATCATCTCTGAAATTCAAGAGGGGTAGGTGTTTGAGATTGGTAGGTTGGATCAGAGGTCTATAATTTGGTATCTTAGGTGGAGACATTCTCTTTTTGTTCATGACTAATAAGTGCCAAATTGTCGTTTTGTATATAAGTTTTCTGGCACTAATCGATTCTTTTGTTGATATTCTTTGAATAAATCTCCACTTTATTTATAAATATGTATACTTTGTGTATAATTGTGCTTTTGAGTCATTTGTGTACCATTTGATAGTTTTTCATTCATTTTGTAGGTGTTTGAGCATGTTTAGAGCGTAGAGTAATAAAGGGCAAAGCCTAAGCTTCAAGATGCAATTTTAGAAGAAATAAAGATGTTTAAAGTTGCGCTTAGCGCGCTCTCAGCGCAAAAAATGGAGCTGAGGCAGTGAGTTTGGCGCTTAGCGCCCTTTAAGGAGGTTTAAGTTATAAGTGGGTGCGCGCTTAGCGCGGTTTTGATGCTTAGCGCGGTCTGCGTTTTTCAGTTTTGTATTTATAGTTCAAAACATATTTTTGTTAGGTTGTATCATCTCTTCCCTCCATGGATGAGCTCTGATCTGATTCTTTGTAGTTTAGAGATTTAGGCAATATCATTAGGTTATACATCTCGTTGTTTAACTATGGGTTATCTCGGATCGCATTGACATTGCGAGAAGTTTGTGCTTCATCTCTTTCTTCCTTGTGTATCATTCTAATAATGGGTTTTATTTGTATATTTTTATTCTTATTGTATGTATATTTGTTGATTATGAGATTGTATAAAATATGCTTTACAAATCATTGTCGATGTCTTCCTTGATCTTTATGCTTTATGTTTGGATTTGGGTTGCTTTAGAAATATACCTCACAAATTCTGATTAGGGGGATATCTATTAGTTTATAGATTCTAGAGATAGATTTAGAGTTGATAATCATTGTGGGTATTAGAGCTTAATGCCTCTGTGTTATTTGTGTTACGCACGGAATCATCGATGCGGGTAATACAGTAGTTATCTCAACTTTGCGTTAGACATAACCTCTGTTGTGGTACATCTAGAGCGATGCTCGATAATTTTAACGCGTATTGTAGATTGAATGTAATTGATCAGTGAGTTTAAGTATTTGATGGGTAGAATGAAATACAATTCCATAATGAATTCTTTTAGGCTACAAATGATTATTTAATTGTTTTATTTACATTCCCGCATTTTACCTTCAACTCCATTCTTCACTTTTGAACTTGTTTATCCACTTTCACCCGGTCTTTTCATATGTTTATAGTAGTTTGTTTTAAATGTGTCAATTTTTGTGTTTTTCCAAGAGCTTGTTTTTATTAGCTTAAGGAAATTTATTTTGTAAATACTGTATAATTTTAGTAGTTGAGGTATTTTGGCGTGGTGGATGTTTAGCAAGGGAAAATTAAATGTGATTCTGATTTTTTTTGCACAAACATACTCGCGCTGAGCGCGATCTGTGCGTGCTAAGCACAGTCTGTGGGGTTAAGCGCGCTCTGCTGCTTGCTTGTGAAATTTTTGTTTCACTCGGCCCATTTGCCCACTTTCTCCTAGGATATTTAGAGCATAATAATAGTAGTATTTACTAATTCTTTTGTTTATTGTTTGAACTCCAATTTTGATTCGTTAAGTTGAAGAAATTTGAGGTGATTTTTCTATTTTGATTGTTTCAACTTGCGGATGTATGGTAATGATAGTTTTTGAAGTTGGTATCACGCCAAGTACTCGTTTATTGCTTTCTATGGAATAACATGTTTAGAAAATTTAGCATTTGCGTAATTACCATACCATTTATTCTTTTGTATTAATTTTTTATTGAATTACTTTAGTTCCTTTTTACCCCCAAATGTGAGGAGCTTTCTGTAATACGGTGGGAGAACTGACTTTTTTAGTGTTATCGCATATATGCGGTTAGCAAGAGTCGCCATCGACTTTTCTTTTATCCAATATTTAGGAAAGGTGAAAAAAACAAGAAATACCTTTCAAAGATTTTGAGTTCGGGGGGGGGGGGGGGGGGGGGGTAAATTATGTAAAGGAAAGGTGTTAGCACCCTTTACATCCGTAGTTATCCACGAGCTCTTAATTATTTAGCTTGCTTGCTTTTTTTGTGTGAATTGTTTGAAAATATTTTGAAATGTCAATGTAAGGCAGACTTTGTAATAATTCTTGTGTCAGTCCTCAAGAATGTATACAAAGTGTTTGGTAAAATATTTATTGTTTTGAAAGTGTGATGTGAGAAAATGTTTTGTTTGTGAGCAAACATTCAAGAGTCCTACCCACCAGGTTTTTGTATTTCCTACTCTTTTTCTTTTCCTTTGGATAAAGTATTATCCATACCATTAGTTGGTAGGTAATCTTATCTATTTGATGTGAAGGGACATGCGTAGGGTTATCGTATGGTCATAGAAGACAACATATAAGGATACTTTACCAATTGTATTGAAGGGACTGTCATCATTTTGCTCGTAGGGTCATCGAGGGACTAGATCATTTTTTTTCGTAGGAAACTCGAGGGACATTAAGGGACTATAATCTTTTGTATTATAAGGACCATGATGATTGTATCGAGGGTCTTTTTGCTAAAATATCCCTACTTTCTAGGGACATGACCAATATTCGTAAGACAACAAGAGAGATTACCCTAAAGGTGCAAGTGTGAAGAGTGTTTGTTTTCAGTTATTTTATCTTGGAGTTAGGGTTATCTATATCAATTTTTATTCTTTCCATACAATCCTAATTACTAATCATAGAATAAAAATATAAGTGCGAGAATATAATGTCATATGCTATTACATCCTCAGAGCAGATACATAATAAGAAAAAAGATGTGGAAATAAATCTACGCTATTACATTAGAGAGTGCGTCCTATACACTTGACTAAGAAAATAACTGGAAAAAGATGAATGAAAGTGTTAGAAAAATATGTTTAAAACCTTAAGATTCTATGTGTTAGAAAATATTTTTTGGTGTTTTTGTAGAAAATAATTTAAGTGTTAAAGTAATTAAAAAAAACCTAATTTCTAATTCATTTTAATTAATAAAAACCTAAAGTCTAATTAGTTAAAGAAAATTAATTGGTTAAGAAATAAACTTAAAACTAATTATGTTTTGAAAAGGTATTTTATGGTTTTTAGTTAATTGGCTAATTAGAAAAATAGAT